AGTTAAACTATTCTCTAATTCAACTTAGCTTCATGGGTTACTTAGAAATCACTTGTTATTTCTAAATACTCGGGGATTTTTCCAGATACAGTTTTCCTTCATTTCTAATTAAATTTTATTGTGGTCAGAGAATATGTTCTGTATGATTTCAGTCCTTTCAGGTTTATTGAGACCAACTTTATGGTTCTGCAGAGAGTGTTCCATGTGTACTTAGAGGCAGTGTGTATTTTGCTGTGGCCATGTCAACGTTGCATCTATTAGCGACAATGAAGTCAGTGGCTTGATAGTGGCTCAAATTTTCTCTAGCTTACTGATTATCCTTTGGCGTATTCTGTCAGTTACTAAGACAGGAATGATGAAGTGTCCAAATATTTTTTTTTCTAAACTAAACTTGTAGTTTAGTCATGTTTTGTTTCACAGTCTTTGAAGTTCTGTCACTAGGCACAGAAACACAGGTCTATTTGATAAACATATCTTTTGTATCATTATCTCTGTTAATACTTGTCCTGCAGTTTGTTGTCTGACGTTAACAAAGCTCTGCTAGCTCTGCTTATTGCTTATATATTTTTTCATGCACTTACTTTTTGTCCTTAATGTGTGTTTCTTATGAAAAGCATATGACTAGCTTTAGCTTTATTACTCAGCATGACAATGCCTTTGATCTAGAGCATGTAGGCCATTTACATGCCACTGTTCCTATGGTCGGGCTTCAGTGTCTTGCTGTTTGTCTTTATCCCATCTGCTCTCTGTTCTTTTCCCCCATTTTTTCTTGTCCTGTTTTGGATAGTTCCTCCCATTTTATCTCTACCTAATATAACCGTCTGCGCCGGAGAGCTTTAGTGTCAACTTGACACACCTGGGTTGAGGGAGCCTCAACTGGGGAATTGCCTTCATTGGACTGGCCTGTGGCCATGTTCAAGGGGCACCTTCTTGACTATTGAGTGATGTGGGAGGGCCCAGCCCACTGTGGGTGGTGCTTTTGGATAGTTCCTCCCATTTTATCTCTACCTAATATAACCGTCTGCGCCGGAGAGCTTTAGTGTCAACTTGACACACCTGGGTTGAGGGAGCCTCAACTGGGGAATTGCCTTCATTGGACTGGCCTGTGGCCATGTTCAAGGGGCACCTTCTTGACTATTGAGTGATGTGGGAGGGCCCAGCCCACTGTGGGTGGTGCCACCCCTGGGTAGATGGGCCTGTGTTGCATAAGAAAGCAGGCTGAGCAGGGGCCACGGGAGCAAGCCAGTAAGCAGCGTTCCCTCATGGCCTGTGCTCCAGCTCCTGCTTCCAGGTTCCTGCCCTGAGTTCCTACCTTGGGCTCCTTGATGAACTGTGACCTGGGAGAAAATAAGCTAAATAAACCCTTTCCTCCCCAAGTTGGTATTGGTCAGAGTATTTTGTCACAGCAATGAATAAACAAACTAGGATACCGTCCTGCTAGTTATTCCTCAGCATTTTTGAGTGGTCATTGTAACAGCCCCTAGTGTATCTTTCTGTAATGTTAGACCTATTTACGTGCAAAGACTTTAAGAACATGTCTGTTGTCCTCATTCAACTTTGTGCTGTTTCATGCATTTTGTTTCCACTTGTTCTAATCCTACCGAGTACCTATCATTTTTGTTTTAAACAGCGAAGTGTAACCCACAGGTAACATTGTACTCAATGGAAACCAGACAAAGACACTCTTTTGCCACATGTATTCAACAGATGGAAGTTCTAGACAGGAGATAGATAGTTCTAGGCAGTTCTAACCACAAAAATGAATTAAAGGATATATAAATGGAAAGTAGACAGGGCTGGAGAGATGGCTCAGTGGTTAAGAGCACTGACTGCTCTTGCAGAGGACCTGGGCTTGGTTCCTAACACCAACATGGTAGATAACAATCATGTGAAACACCAGTTCCAGGACACCCTCTTCTGATCTCTGCAGGCATTGCATGACACAGGTGCACTTACATACATGTAGACAATATGCTCATACACATAAAAATTAAAATAATAAAATATTGAAAAATAAATGGAAAGTTGAAAGTCAAGCTTTCTGTTTATAGATGACATAATCTTATTTGCTAAAGATTCCACAAAATGCTGTTAGGGCTAATAAATGAATTCAGCCAAGTTATAGGATACAGAATCAAAAAATTTGTGTTTTATATGCTAACAATGAATACTGTATGAAGTGAATATTTCCATTTACTCTAAAATCAAACAGGATAGAATACATAAAAATACATTTAACTGAGAAATCAAATAATTTACACACAGGAAACAACAAAACATTGGTGAAAGAAATGGAAGAAAACACAAATAAACGCAAAGCCATTTTTTTTCCCATGCATTTGAAGACAATGTTGTTAAAATGACAATATGATTCAAAGTCACCTACAAGTTTAATGCAACTGTGTTAAAATTCCAAACCAGCATTTTTTCAGAAATAGAAAATAAACCACAAAAGCAAACCCCAAACCTAAAACTTTTATGGAATCTCAAAGGACCACTATCAGCCAAAACAACTTTCTCTAAATTTTGGAAAAGTCACAATTCCCAGATCAAAATTACTGTAACATTATGGTGACCAAAACAGTATAAGACAAATACAGCAAAGGGCAGATGCATAGAGCAGTGGCCCAGAATACAGAGGTCATACTCTCAAATACACAGTTACTTGACTTGAAAATTCTAAATTACACTTATTTGTGTGTATATGTGGGAGCTCATGTGCCATGGTGCACATGTGGAGGTCTCCTTCAACCATGTGGGTCCTGGGAATTAACTCAGGTCATCAGGCTTTATGGTAAGCACCTTTACCTACTGAGCCATCGCACTGGCTCCTAGTTGGCTTTTAATAAGAGTGTTGAAACTATTCAAAAGGGGGAAGGGTGGCATTTTAGCACTTCAATTAATTTTTCAATTGTTATATAGTCACTGTATGAAGTGATGGTTTTCGTAACACTTTTGATTAACTATGTCACCCATGTTTATCATATCCACTCCCCATCACCGTCAAGGATGGTCTTTTCAACAAATGGAGGTGAGAAACTTGGGTATCTATGTGCAAAGAATAAAGTCAAAGGCTTACCTTTCATCACACACAAAAGATAACTAAAAGTAGACCAAAGACCTAAACATCAGAACTGAAACTACAGAATAAGAAACCACAGGGAGATAGACATGGTGGTGCAAGTCTGTAATCCTGACCTTGGGAAGTGGAGGGAGGAGGCTCTGGGTTCAGTATCAACCTTGACTGCACAGCAAGTTTGAGACTGGGAGGCCAGTCTGGGCTACATGAGACCCTGTTTCAAACACCAAACAACACCTCAGGAGATAGATGTTGGCATCACAACAACACCTCAGGAGATAGATGTTGGCATCACAATTTTCAGTGATGAGATAGATGTTGGCATCACAATTTTCAGTGATTTTTTTTTTTTTAGATAGGACCTAAAATACTGAACAACAAAAGAAAAAAGGAAGATAAAAATGTTAAATTTTGGGTTCAGTATCAACCTTGACTGCACAGCAAGTTTGAGACTGGGAGGCCAGTCTGGGCTACATGAGACCCTGTTTCAAACACCAAACAACACCTCAGGAGATAGATGTTGGCATCACAATTTTCAGTGATTTTTTTTTTTTTAGATAGGACCTAAAATACTGAACAACAAAAGAAAAAAGGAAGATAAAAATGTTAAATTTTGTGCTTTAAGTAAAGGCTCTTATCAATGCAGCCCAAAGACAGTATACAACCTGAAAAAAAAATTTGTAAACCACATATTTGACATGGGATTAAAATTAATCAAATTGACCCTCTAGTCCTAACTTCCAATTTATATAAAAGATGGGACAGAGGAACAGGTTAAACATTAATATGACTAAACAAGCAGACAAACACAGACCATACGACATTCTAAAAGATAAATAGTTGGGTAAGGGTATAGTAGAAGATTGAAAAATGTCTGAAAAGACAGCAAAAAGCAACATTTGAACCTTGACTAGATTCTGGATTATGGTTGGGAGGGGACAGATTTAAGACATTCTTGAAATAACTTGGAAAATATGTGTCTAAAAGTGTGATAACAGTTTTGTGATGATTTAGGAAAACATATTTATGCTTATAAGAGATGAACACTCATGTAGTTAAGGACAAAGGGCTGGTGTCCGAGATTGAACTTTTAAAAGGTTTCTTCCATGGTGGGCAAGAAGGTTCAGTGGGTAAAGGTACATGTGCCAAGCTTGACAACTTGAGTTTCATCCTCAGGACTCATAAGGTTGAAGAACAGAACTGACTCCCATAAGCTGTCCTCTGACCTCCACATGTGCATCATAGCAGTGTGCCCTCCTCTAAAAATAAATAAGTGTAATAAGAAAATGTAAAGTACCTAGGATTTGAAAAACAAATAAAAGGTTCTTCCAGAGAGGTGAGAGGCAGAGAAAGAGAGAGAAAGAGAGAGAGAGAGAGAGAGAGAGAGAGAGGTAATAATGCCAACAATTATCCAATTTCAGCAGAAGCTATGTGCTATTCTTTCCTCTTTTTATAGATTTGAAACCTTTCTAAATACAAAACTTGGACTAAAGAAGGCCATGGATCACATAAACCATACAGATTTAACTGTAACTTTATGAGATTAACACTGGAAAAAGAGCTGTAGATAGCGGACCCTGTGGAATGAGTGTAGAACTGCTCAGACTGTTCTGCATAGCTTCTTGTTCCCCAGCCATCCCTGCGGGTCTGCAGTGCCTCCAAGGCTGTGTATGATGTCTCCTGTAGTTATGTAATAGGCCTGCCAGAACATGATTGTGTCTCACTGGGAGACAGTTAGGAGGGAACCCAAAATCTTCGTGAAGTAGACGAAAAGGGGAATCATACTGCACGTATATTTACCAGTATAATTGATAAAATTACCTCTATGATATTGTTACTGTCACTTTTTTAGTACATGGAAGTATAATGATTTGGTTAGAAGTCAACTGTAGCCTCAAAAGCAACCCAAGGGTCCACACACCTGGGCTGATGGCTGCAGCGGGTGGAGGTGGAAGAGGCCGGCCTTCTTTAACAGCTAAAGTGCACTGCTTTGCTGCTTGAATTGCATTGATGAAGTCCTCGTGCTGTTGTCTCCAGTTCGATTTCCTCACAGGCAGAGACTGGAAAAAACAAAGTGGACATACACTACCCTATACTAGATGCTACTCAGTTACTTTTTTTTTAATAGATAGAATTTGAATTTGTAGCAAATGGGATTGTGAAAACTGAGGAGAATTCTTTTTCTCCAAAGGAACTATTTTAAAAGGTTTGGAAACTACAACTGTGAAAATTTCAAGTCATAATATTGAGAAAAAACACAAAATAAAAATCAGAGAATCAAATCATTAAAAGTTTAGACAAATGCAAGATTAAAGGTGACTTTCTTATACATTTTAAATGACTTTATTTTTATTTATTTATTTATTGTATTTTTTGAGTAAAGAAGGCCATGGATCACATAAACTGTATAGCTTTCATTGTTACTTTATGAGACTAACACTGGAAAAAGTTTACATGTATCACAGCAATGTAGAAGCCAGAGGACAACCTGAGAAAGTTGGTTCTCTCCTTCCACCATGTAGGTCCCTGGGAATTAAACTCAGGTCGTCAGGCTTGGGGGCAGGTGCCTTTACCCACTGAGCCATCTCACCAGTCCAAAGTTAACTTTCTTACTGGTACAGTGCCAAACACCTGTAATCCTAGTACTGGGGAAGCTGAGGCAGGAGGACCATGAGCTTGAGGACAGTTGGGATACATAGTCAGCTCAAGGCTAGCCAGAGTATATAGTGAAACCCTATCTCAAAAACAGAAAAAGAAAAAAGTAACTTCCTTCCCAAGTTAATTTCTAGATTTAAAGTCACTTTAATGAAAATATAAACAGAATTCTTTTGCCACATCTGGAAAGTATCTGAAATTTATTTGGAAATCTAAGTAAGATTATACAGAAAGCAGTAAAGGTGGATTAAATTTAAATGACATTAAACTGCCTTATCAAGCAAAAAATGAAATTAGAGAGCCAAGAAATGGGCTTACATGGACTTAGTATAATGGGGTGAAATAAAGAAGAAGACCATACCTTGAGCTGAAGAGCCTTACTCAAGGAGGGAATATCTGTTCCCTGCAATCTTTGCTTTAAGGAACTGAAAGTCTTGCGCCTTTTGTTGAAGAGTTTTCTACATATTGGTCCATGTCTTTCCTAGACAAGGAAGGGTGAGGATTACATCTTGAAAATGTACACAATCACACAGTTTTTATGACTCAGTGCTTAGCCCCCACAGAAGTGACTGGAAAATCTGCAGAACTTAGTCCATTCTCTAACTTTAGACCATAGAAGAACAAATCTATTGACTATCCTCAACCACGTTACACATAGTTCAATGCTGTATGTAGGCAAAGACAATAAAAGCCCTTTAGAGCTGTGGATCCTTTAAGAGATGAGGACTAAGCTGGCTGTGGTGGTGTGGGCTTGTGATTTCAGGACTGCAGAGGTAAGGCTGGAAGATTGTGAGTGCAGAGTCAGCCTGGGCTGCATAATGACACCCTGTCTCAAAACCAAACCAAATCAAACCAAACCAAAACAACAAAAAGATATGAGTCCTTAGTGGGAGGCTTTTAGAACATTGGAAACTAGATGGAACAATGGCACCAGGGCCTCTTCTTTCTCACGATCTTTTGCTTACTAGCTATGGGGAGAAAGGTTTTTCTCCTTCACATGTTTTCTCTGCCACAACATACATTTATCCACAGGACCAAAGTGACAGGGCCAAATGACCATGAACTGGAACTTCCAAAACTATGAGACAAAAGAGGTCTTTTTTGTTTATAATGTGATTATCTCAGGAATTTTGTCTATGCTGTAGATGCTGGCTAGTAGTTTTTAAAAAATATTCAACATTTCTGACACAAAAACTGGGAAATACTCAGGGCTCTGCTTGGGTATCACTTGATAAAGTTGGTGTGGCTACTTGTGGTGGCTCACATCTTTAATCCCAGTACTTGGAAAGCAGAGGCAGGAAGATACCTGTGAGATTGAGGCCAGCCTGGTATACATAAATTCTAGTCCAGCTGGGACTACTGGGAGACTCTGTCTCAACATAGCCCCCCACCCAAACCCATGAAGTTGGTGTGGTAGTTTGAATGAGAACTGTCCCCAATAGGCTTGAGTATTTGAACACCTGGTCCTCAGTTGGTGGTGCTTCTTTGGAAGCCTTGCTGGAGAAAGTACATCACTGGGGCAGGCTTTGAGGGTTTATAGCCTGGCTTTATTTCCTGTTTGCTCACTCTGCTTTCTCTGTGCAGAAAAAGCATGATCAGCCACCTTCTTGCCCTTGCCTCTACACCCTCCCCATCATGATGAACTCTATCCCTCTAGAACTGTAAGCCAAAATCCTTTCTTCCTTAAGTTGCTTTTGTTCAGGGTACTTTATCACAGCAACAGAAAAGTAACCGAGGCAGCTGACTACTGTGTCGCTATGGCATTCCATGAACAACTTTGTCCTCTTCCTTGGTAGATACATACACATCATAGCTACCATTTACACAATTGCTTTGTCTAGACTCAACAAAACACAAGATCTATAAAAATCAATGCACCTTCCTGAAAACAAGTTATCCATGTTAAATCACAGGAGAGATACCAGATCTCTTGATCAAATGTTCTGAACAGCTTAGAGCTAGGCTTAGCAGGTGAAAGTCAGAGAATGGGAAACATACTTGACATTTAGTGATCTCTCTTTTCATGAGAACAGCTCCCTGGCAAAGTTAATAGTGAGCTGGTGGGTTACTGGGCTACAACAGGCCCTCATGAGCTTTCCTAATAGTATCAGAGCTTTAATCACAGTTTAACTAGAATAGCACACACACACACACACACACACACACACACACACAATTTTAAATAATTTCATTATTTGCAATGAGATAAGCATGTTGTTTATAGCATTTTTATATGTAAAACATGCATACACACATGTATACACTATCTTGGGTTCAATGCCAGCCTGGTCTATATAGAGAGTTCCAGGCCAGCTGGGGCTACAGGGAGACTGTGTGTCAAAAAGAGCAAAATAATAAAAATAAAATAATAATAATAATAATAGTAATAAACCTACAATCTCATTTTGGAGTCCGCAAGTGTTGTTAGGCTTACACTTCAAATCTTCTAAGTTTAATGGAACTTCATATGATCTGAAATGTTCCAATGATTGCAATATCAATTTATAGTTTCTTTTTTAAAAGTCATCTTTCTTAGGAATCTCTTTACAGTACTGGGGTCTACCATCTGTTTAATCCCCTAAATTTGAAACAATCCAAACTTTTGTTCAACTTTAAAGCCTGGGAACTTGACATGCAGTTAGTTTGACTCTGGACAATTAGATCTTGGAACAGGCTTGTATCCATGCATTATTTTGTTCAAATGGTCTAAAACCCCCTTGAAATCAGAGGGTTCTGTATACGTGGCAAAGCAGAAAACAGGAAAGTTAGAGGACTTGTCAGAATTAGCGACAAATTTGCGGCTACAAGCCAAGTTTCCAGATGCTTGAAACCCAATGCTCATTCCTCTCTACTAGCTAATTTCCCTGGTGTTTTGGCCTTGAAATTTGAATTTTTGATGCTTAAGAAAAGGCGGAAGAGCTAAAACCTCTCAAGGGAGAATTGCCTGTGCCAAAACCATCCCATCGAGCATGATTTCAGGAGGATGGTCATTAATAGGGTCACTTTTGAACGTGGCAGCATCAGTCCCTTGGTGTCCTCCGGGCCTGGCAGCCACAGGTTCTGTACTTCTCTCCCTCACTTCCCCTCCACATCTGTCTTTAATCTTGGCACCACTGCCTCGTCACTGACTTGACAGTTCATTTAACTCCAATGAAACACATCTACAAAATGTCTATGTTTACCAGAACATCTGCTGCAAAGCATCTTCCACAGACTTCACAGGGAAATAACTTCTCATTGCCATCTGCATGAGATTCAAGAGCACATTATGTTAAGTTTCATGGAATTGCCTGGCAGAGTAAAGTGACTGCAGGTGACCTCAGTTGCCTGACATCCTCAGTGTCCCTTCCCCACCAACTGCTTCCTCATCTTGGGAAGATCCTTTGCAAATTCATGGGTTTTCCTTTTCTAATATAAACTTCTCATCTCACCAGAGTAAATTCCATAACCTCCAGGCAGCCAGTGTAATGATTTTAGTAGGTAAATGAAGTGCTTGAGAATTATGCATTAAATATAAGTACAAAGTTAATACTTTGACATAAGTCACCGATGAGCCAATGGCAACATCTTTGGGATTCCTCTTAGGCCTGCTTTTGGTGCTTGCTATGTAACCAATGCCTCACACACCTATACACCACACACACAGACATACACACACACACACATACACTGTACATTTTTAAAAGAAGAAAAAGTGCTCAGTAAGCACTGCTTGAAGTTACAAGTCAAAAATTGGGTTTTGGGGCTAGAGAGTTGGCTTGGCAGTTAAGAACCACTCCTGCTCTTGTAAAAGACCCAGGTTCAGTTCTTAGCACCCACATGGCAGCTAACAACTGTCTGTAACTCCAGTTCCAGGGGATCTGATGCTCTCTTCTGGTCTCCACAGGCACAGCATGCACGTGGTGCACTTATACACATGCAGGCAAAACAATCATGCACATAAATTTAAAATGAAAAACAATTGGGTCTCTACCTGAGGACCACAAATAATATGGATTATTTAATCCATATTAAATATTGGCTGTCTGTAACTGTTCAGAAATACTGAAAGAAACTCACACACAGGTCCACTGAAAAAGGACAGAAAATGGGAAGATAAACTACTAAGAGATAAGTTACTCTAACTTAGAGAAAAGCAAAGTACCATGGACTTTTAACAGTATCAACTTTTGTTACTTTCTTTTGGTTCATCTAGATTTGAGTATGTAAGGGTTAAAAAAAATTTCAGGTCTGAGTATAGGGATTTTATATTGGAATAACTGAAGTTTTTTTCCTCCACAGGTAAGGGGAGCAGTCAGGGGCTGAGGTTGTCTTGAGAACCTCAGCAGAACTGTGGACAACTCAGACAAAAGCGAAGATGGACAGGAAGTCACTTAAAAACTGAGGTGGTGATGAGGAGGAAATGTGGAGAGAGAGAGAGAGAGAGAGAGAGAGAGAGAGAGAGAGAGTGAATATTTGGGGACCTCACTAAATTTACAAGCAAAATGCCTGAGGAGACAGCGAGGCTGTGGATAGAGTAGGGAGTTTGAAAAGAAAGGCCATCTTAGGAAGAAAAATGACCTCAGCTTTGGAAATACTGAGTTTAAATAGAGTCGTTCAGCCAGCAGGATAGAAATGAGGAAGGTCAGGGTCAGGGACACAGATGTAGGTTTTGAGGAATGAAGTAAAGCGTGATACTGCCAGGGAAGCAGTCATGGAAAGAGCAGAACAGAGAGGATCCTTAGGGAAACTTGCATTTAAGGCCAAGAAAATGATGGTGGTGAGCCAGGAGAAGCAGAAAAGAACAGGGTCATGGAAACCAAGTGGGAAAAAATTTGAAAGAGGAAGGCCTTCTTAACAGGAAGCAGATGGCAGGCCATACAGACGTTGTTGATTTAAACAATTTCTTCTCACGTCTGCTAATTGCTATTGTATTTTCAGCACAGGTCACCCATCGGCCCACAGGAATATTTCCCTCCCTCCTGTCCTTTTGGCTCCCAGACTATAAAACTGGATCTTAAAAATAAGATTTTCAGCAAAGTTGCCCCAACTTTCCATATACTTACTTGGTATTAAACACTACTCCTTCTGATTACAAAGGTGCTTTTCTCAAACATTACTGAAGGTAATGATTTTATTAATATTATGTCATAATGATATGGTTTTCTTCTTTTCTCTAAATGCCTTTTTTGTGTTATTTCATGTGCTCCTCACAGTAACCTTGTGAGACAAGATTAGTGCTGTTTTAACAGATGAGAAAATGAGTTAAGAATGTCTCTCAGACCACAGATGGAGGCTACTAACCCTGAGACTTGAACCAGAGTCTCTGTAAAGATTAAGATTAAATTCTACCATAGATTTATATATCCAGGTTAATCTGCAAAGCATCTGGAACCCTCTAGAGTATCAATGACCTTTGGTTTGTACCACTGAGTTCAAGGAATTTAAAGTAATAGATATGATTCAATTAAAAAGTTGGCTATGGATGGACCACCCCATTCTGAACTACATTCAATTTGGAAGCTTGTCTATAAGGAACATCTGTCTGAACAGCTGAATCATACATGGAGTTCAAGGTCCAGAGTGTTGGTCACTCTATGGTGAGACCCATAGGAGATGTGATTGCTACAATCTTCTTAAGACTTATTTTTATTTTTAGTTATGTTTATATATGTTTGAGTATATGCTGTGTATGTGCAGGAGCCCTCGGAGCCCAGGAGAGGGCCTTGGATATTCTGGAACTGGTATTGTAGACAGTTGTGAGCCTGTCATGGGTGCTGGGAACTGAATTCTGGTCTTCTGGTTAAAAGCCAGTGCTCTTAACTACTGAGCCATCTCTCTAGGCCTGAAAGCTACAATTTTAAAAGAACCCTTTGAGACAACCAAATGCACTTCAATGGGGAGATGCCTAAATGAACTGTGGTGTATTCAGGAGGCAGAGGCAGGTGGATCTCCGCAAATTCGAGGCCAGCCTGGTCTACAGGGAGACCCTGTCTCAAAAAGACAAAAAAAAAAAAACAAGAAACAAATTGGCATATGCCTTCAATCCCAGCACTCCAAAGGCAGAGGCAGAGGCAGGCAGATCTTTGTGAGTTCAAGGCGAGCCTGGTCTACATAGTAAAAAATACTGTTGATCCATAAAAATACCTAGAAGGAGCTCAATGCTGCATGAAATAAAGCCACTTTCAGAAAGTGACACACTACATGATTTCACTTGTATAACATTCTCAAAATGGTAAAATGACAGAGATGGAAAACATTATTTTTGAGGTGTAGTCATGGTTGGTGGGTGAGGAAGTTGGTGGCGAGCAATCTTTGTGTGATGGAGTAGATCTGAGTCTTCATTGTTGGTGGTGGCTATGCATGTTGTAAGATGGCAGAGAGCTGTGAGCACATTCTGTTACCAATGACATCCACTAGTTTTGACATACTACAGTTACATCAGAAGCAACTTGGAAAACTGGGTTAAGGGTGCAAGGGATCTCTTTGCTATATTGCTTTTTATTAAACTATATATGATTGTTGTCAAAATGAAACATTTAAAAATATAGAGGAGTGAGCGAACTGCAGGCTGTGAGCCACATCTGGAACTGCTGAAAACAGTTTTTTTGGGAATGGACCATGCTCATTTGTTTACATAGTGTATATTGTTGCTTTCACAGTGCAAGCAGAGTTGTGTAGTTTCAGCAGAAGAAACATGACCTGCAAAAGCGAAAAAGCATGCCATGTGGCCTTTTTCAGAAATGGGCTGCTGACTGAACAGGAACACAGCAATTAAAAATGATTTGTGGAGCTGGGTGTAATGATTCACTCGTGTGATGCTAGCACTTGGGTGGCAGAGGCAGGACTGCCTCTAGCTCAAGGCCACCATGGGCTACAGATTGAGATTTTGTCTAAAAAACAAAAGAAAATAAAAGAAAAATAAACCAACCAACTAATCGGCCAACAAACAAGTACAAAAGGATTTGTGGGAGAATAATACAGAAAAAATTTAATTGATTTACTTATTTACAAAAAGAATGGGAAGACACACACCTTAACTACACCTGAGTTGTAAAAATAAAGGTGACTACATTCTTTAGCTTCTGCATTTTCATTTTCTTTTACAAAAATTACGCATTATTTTAAAAATTAGTGATTTTTATAAGATCAAAAAAGAAAAAAGAACCTATTCAGGCTAGTGTTGTGGCTCTGGTAGAATTCCTGCTTGAACAATACGCAGAAGGCCCTAGGTTCTTTAACACCTTAAGAGAGGTAGAAATAGGGGCTGGAGAGATGAGATGGCTCAGCAGTTAAAAGCATGCATGACTGCTCTTGCAGAGGGCCCAGGTTCAAGTCCCAATACCCACGTGGTGGCTAACAACCATCCATAACTCCAGTCCCAGGGGATCTGGTGCCCTCTTCTGACCTCCATGGGCATTGCACAACACAGGTGCACGGTAATACATTCATACACATAAAATAAAAATTTTTTTTAAAGATATAAACTTGATTGAAAATACTCTTTAACAATGCCAACTCCTATTTTTTTCCTCTCTATTTAGAATCATACTTGCCAGCCATTATGGTAGCTGTTAGTAAACAATGGTTTGTCATCTTAGAAATTTTTTAAAACAAGGAAAAGCCATCTGATAGAAGACTCAGCACATTTCAAAAATGAAAAGTATTCTAAAGATCTGCATTAAAAATTTTTATTAAAAGTATAGAAAGGGAGAATGAAATTTAAAAACAAATCTTGCTCTGATTAGACTTAATTTAGGGCCTTGTGTGCCAAGGTAAGTTTTCTTCTGAGCTGCAGCCCCAGCCCTTGGTTTTTAGACAGGTCTCACTATAGTCAGGCTGGCCATCCTCCTGCCTCCCTCCTTCTGACTCCTAAGTGTAATGTAAATAATGGCATGTGCCACTGTCCTCAGCCTTAGACATTCTCTTGAGCTGAAAGAATGCTTCTAGAGACATCTACAACAGAAGAAAAAGGAAGACATTCTCATTCAGATGTCAAGACAGTCAAGTGATTCTTAGGTTCTCTGAAGCCCAGACATGCAAATATTTATCCAAGTCAATATCTCCCATAGCCCTTTAGCAAGAGCTTCCACAATGGCTTCAAGTTATCTTCTTTCAGGAATGAGTCACGAGATAACAAAAGGAACGAAGACCATGAATTAGGACCACAGAAAAAACACTCAGCTAGTTTGCTTTTCCCACTATGAAGCTATAATAGAGACAAAGGGCATGGAGATGGAGAGCCACAAAGGAAGATAACACAACGTGGTAACTTAATGAGAATATACTTCCCCTTCCCAGGTAGGGGAGAACTAAGAGCTGTCTAGATTCACACACAGAACCTTAAGTCATAGGAACCCTGAAGCAGCACGCACTTCTGTAATTGGGGCAGGGTGAATGAGAGGAAGATTACGAAGGCACCAAGAGGAAAGTTGTTTGAACCCTGGTAGACACACATCCTCTCTCTAGGCATTTACGTGCCCTGCCCTTTAAATCAAACATGGATGCTAAAGCAAACCACTGTGAACATATGAAAAGCACTGAAAATACAAGCTGGAGAGCACTGGAGTGGCTCTCAACTGAGGTGCTGTGACGACAGCACAATGAAGGTTGCAGATATGGTACACAGTGCAACCCAAGTCACATACAAATGGCAGATACTGACTTAGAACAGTAGCACCAAAAGATACAACAAGAATAGTTTGAAAAGTTACAAAACAAGTCTAAAATTCAGTAGGCAGGGCCAGTGAGGTGGCTCGGTGGATAAAAGTGCTTGCAACAAAAGCTCAACAACCCAAGTTCAGGCCCTGGAACTGATGTAAAGTGGAAGGAGGGACCTCCACAAAGTTGTCACTTGACCCCTTCATGTGGCACCGATGGCCACAGCAATTTTTTTTTTTTTTTTCAATCCAGTAGGAAAATTCTTCATGACTCCTAACCTGGGGATGCCTCAAGCCTTTCTTCTTGCTGGGTTTTGGGTAATGACTGAACTCCCAAGTTTAAGCCATCCTTTTCTGAAATGTCTTACCCTATACGTACATAAGGAGTATATACACACTCCTTAACACTACTAGGGGCTGGTTTGGACAAAGGGTAAACAAGTTTCTAATATGCTGGGAGTGGTGGCACATGTTTGCAATCCCAGCACTAGAGGACAGAGGCAAGTGAATCTCTGAGTGTGATGTCAGCCTGATCTACATATCAAGTTCCAGGTCAGCCAGAGCTACACAGTGAGACCTTATCTGAAAAAATTTTCCTGTCCTCCAACTTTGCTCTAGTCAGAAGAATAAAACAGAAAGTCTTGTACACAGGTAGAGAACTAAACACCAGAGAATGAAAAATGCTGGGGAGGAGGGTATGCTATTTTTTTAAACACACGCTCAGTGCACAACATATAGGAAGGTGACGACCAAGCACCAACCTTGTGGAAGGCTTATCTGCAGTTAAGACTTCAAGGGAACAGTGAGTACCAAGGTCCTCTCACAAGTGGTGCTTACCACAGAGACAGCATCACCACTTATCTGTTTTGCCTCCAACCAAGCAGTTCTTGAAGGCAAAAGCCCTCTTATCTCTATTACCTAACATTTAGCATGGGGCTTATACGTTCAGTTTCCAACATTGTTTACAGATAAGTAAAATATTGGGTGTCTGAGTTCAGGTCTAGTGTGTGCAGAGGGACTAAAACAGAGTATTAGCAAACTTACTTGCTACTACGAAATTGTTCTCCAGAGTAAAGTTAGAATTTTTAAACGTAATCAGCTTAAATCACAGTATGATTCTCAAGACTTGTGGCTGAGTCACAGTCTCTTAATTGCAAAATGGATGAATTTGAATAGCACAGGGCAAAGTAACACCCAGTGCCCGTGACTCCCGTTGGCTGGGACAAACTTCTGTTGAGATTGTCAACATAATAAATGGTCCTTTCATTTAGAGTTTATATTCTCAGTATTCACATAAACAAACCATCAACTGACCCCTTGCTTCTGCAGGCTGGAATTTAAGTATACACTCAGTATCCTATTTCCACAATGACCAACTCTAGGGACATTTAACAATGTTTTTGTTTTTTATGACTCCAAAAGATACAATTGAGCTTTTAGTTAATAAAACTTAGCGGAACAAGATAACACCTACCAGCTATGGAAGATAGTAACAGATGAAGACATTGCTAAAAACTTAAGGCATCAAACACAGCTCACCTGTCTCAAACAGCTGTGCCTCGGCCATTTTACTCATTACTCTGAACCAACAGCAGTTACCACCACACTGGTCAGAGGCACATGAGCAAAGTCCACTATGAAGTCACAGTTTACCAAATAATGAAAAATTGAAAGGGAATCACTGCCTAAACCTTCAGTTTGTAGATGTTAAAACAGGAACATCTCATTGAAACCAGGAAAATTTTGAATATGTATTTTAATGAATTCTGAATGGTTCCAAACATTAAATAATGTTGAAAAAGACAAGCTTTCCAGTCGCAAATGCAGTAAATATTTCTGATTTTGAGCTAGGGGATTCATTAATGCCAAAATTTTCTTGATTACTCCAACTGTTGTTTCTTGAGTTTGCTGTTCCTGAATCCCAAAGGGGAGTCATCTGGTAATATAACAGGAAATAGGAATTCTGACAACTGTAATAATTCAGCTCTGCTGATGTCTGAAAGAGTCCTTTGTATACAACAAGGGAAAACTCAGCTTCTTCCCCGTGGAATCGTCTCAGGAGAACTCTTCTCACCGAACAGAATACACCACCGTTTCCAAACTGAGCTTAACCAGGCCACTTTTCTACATACAGCAAATTAAACCATGTAATTCCTGAAAAGGCGTGGAGCGGTTTCAAAGAAATATTTGAGAACATCTGCAAAAAACAGCTATGACAACCACACAAACAGATGAGCACACCAATTCCATTCAAGCTAAGAAGACATTTTCCTTTTATTGATCCAAACATTTTGGTTTCATGAAGTCATTTACTTCAGCAAATATAAGTTTATAATATTAAACTTAAAACATTACAGTATTTACAAGACAGCTGAGAAGAGAAGCTTGCTTGTAAAAAAATAATACAAACACTGTTTTTCTCTTCGTATCTGCCTGTAAGAATGGCAGGGACAAGTTTCCCTCTCTGAAGACGCTGGCTGATTACTGAACATAACGAAGACCGTCTAAAAGGGACTTGACTCCTTTCCCCATGTTCGCCTGCCTACAGCTTCAGGCCCTCCACATTCTTCTTCAGGTTCAGCAGCTCCTTTTCTTGTCTTCTTTTCTCCAGCTTGAATGCTAATTTGTTAGCTTTCTTCTCCACCCTCCGTTCCTGTATAAGGGCATCTTCAGGTTACTCACGTCTTTAATGGACAGACAGCTTACACCAAAGGAAACTGACACCTTCTCCCACCCGTTCTTTTGAACCCCACATTTGGAAGGTGCATTTTACCTTGCGCTCCTCCTTTATGGCTTGCTTTCTTGCTCTTTTATCTTCTCTGCTTTCGTTTTTACAGCGTGGCTGGGTTGACACCTTGGGGAGATCACTGCCATTGATCATTTGCATTCGCTCAACCTGCTTTGCTGTCAGTCCTTTCTTTGGTAAGACATCTAGGGGTATTCCTGTTTTAGAAGATAGGTGGATTTGTTTGGGCTGAAAAACAAAAACCAACAGCACTAGGGTTATTGTCCATTGCTATTAAAGTAGCTCACACACCACTGGTGCTGCTAACAGCACGACCAGGCACAAAGGGATGAGTTACTGTGAGAAAATGGTTATCTCCTTTTTTTTTAAGATTTATTTTTGTGTCTGTCTGAGTATAAACCATGTGTGTGTAGGTGCCAAGAGGCCAGGAGGCATCAGATCCCTTGGAACTGGAGTTAAAGGCACTGTGAGGCAACTGATGTGGGTACTCGGAACTGAACTCAGGTCCTCTGGAAGAACAAGATCAGCTCTTAACCACGGAGTCATCTTTCCAGCCCCTTCTCATCCAAGAAACCCCAGGACACATAGGCTTACCTTTGGTTCATATTTGATAAGCTGTGGATGGTTGTATAAATTTGAGTATGTACCTTAAAAAAGAAAATCGTGTGTCACTTAAGTAGTTTTAAGTTCAGTAAAAACATTACACAGTTCACACTATATTCCCAGCCTTGGTGGCTTCACAGTGTGAAAATAACACTAGAGTCTCTCTTAAAAATGTCCTGAAATTATTTGCAACTCAGTAATAGGAACATTACTCTTTCTAAAGCCTTCTCACAAATTTCCTAAAAGTTTATCTTCTACTAAAATCTACTTTTTCAGGATAAGTTTAAAATTACTTTCATACTTTTGGCAACAGGGAGGTCAATGAGACACTTACTGCAAATGGACTCGCAGTCCCACTTCTCTTTGGCTTCTTCAAGAACTACAGTAATAATCTCTTCCTGTTCAGACTCATCAAGTGCAGTCGCTGGCAAATCTTGATGCTCAAAAGGTTCAAGAGTGTTCAATTTTACACAACTTTGGGTGAGTTTTAAAAAATGAAAAGAAGATTAAAAAAGAAGCATTAGTATACTGCCTGTAACTAAGACAGCTATGGAGACAAGAGCACCTTTTCAGATCCTGTTCCCTACTTCCAGTGGGTTTTGGACATTCACTCTGCTGATAGGGCAGATCTAGCTCATCTTAGCAAGGCTATATATTAGACAAGAAGGCATATTTCCTAAGAAGATACTTCTTTAAAGCTTCGAAATGCACTACCCCTCCCCCCGCAATCTCTCCAAAATATGCACATATTTCACTCCGTGTGTGGCTCCTTTCCTGCTGTGGGAGCTGTATGGAATAGGATCTTCTAGGCAGACTTAAATACCTCATCAGCTTCTCTCAGATGAGAATCATGCTGATACAGACACTGAACTGATGAAATAATTCACTGGTCAGTTCTGCTAATCCAACTGGCGAGAAGCTTATCTATTATCCCTAACTATCCACTTTTGGAATACCCAGCATTTCAGAAAAATGAAGAAAACAGATCCTTTCAAGCTGGAGTAATTCTTCAGCCTGAGGCTAGAAATACCACATCACTCTCCAACTCCCAAGTCTCTTCATGTTTCTTATCTGAGCTCAAGTCAAGAGCAAGTTCTCTAACAATGGACTCTTGACTAGGTGGATCTTTCCGCACAAATCAGTTATTTTTGGAGGTAGGAAAACAAAGCAGCTGAACTAAGAGAAATGGCCATACTTCTCTGCTTTCTCCTTGTAGTAGTCATTCAAGACTTCCTGTAGCCGACTGCTGTCTACCTGAATGGAACCTTCCAATTCCACATTATCCAGAGCTCCAATTTCAACATCATCATACTGTTCATAAAACTTGAATACAAACAGAAAAAGATGTCATGAAAAACAAATGTACTAATTATTTATAGTATTTAATGTTATTTTTACATTCCTACTACGTAACATTTAAGCACTATTAAAAGATCACAACTACTGCTGGGCGTGGTGGCGCATGCCTTTAATGCCAGCACTCGGAAGGCAGAGGCAGGCGGATCTCTGTGAGTTCCAGGCCAGCCTGGTCTCCATGGTGAATCTAGGACAGCTGGGGCTACAGGGAGACCCTGTCTCAAAAAGACACACACACAAAAAAGATCACAACTACCAATAAGATACCGGCAGGGAGGGAGAACCAGTGACAATGGCATAGAAGACATTTAAAATTTGTCCAAGTATTTGCTTACACGTATGTATGTATGTATGTGCACCATGTGCATATCTGGTGCTTACAGAGACCAGAAGAGGGTGTCTGAGCCTCCAGACTTGGAGTTAAAGATGGTCATGAGCCACTATGTGGGTGCTAAGCACCGAACCTGGAGACTCTGCAAAAGCATCAAGTGCTCTTAACCACAGAGCCATCTCTTCAGCCACACTGGAGACATTTTAAGGGAGTATTTTCAAACTCACATTTAAAAGTAATTATTCTAGTGGCTGGAGAGATGGCACAGTGGTTAAGAGCACTGACAGCTCTTGCAGAGGACCTAGGTTTGATTCCCAGCACCCACATGGTAGCTAACAACTGTTCATAACTCCAGTTCCAGGGGATGTGATGCCTTCTTCTGACCTCTGTGAGCATTGCACAACATGGGTGCACCTACACACATGCAAGCAATACACTCAAACACATAAAAAAAAAAAAAGTAGTTATTCTACTCAGCTTGGGAGAAATAAAATAAAATATAGGCAGAATCTCAGAATATTCTGAAGACAACTTCAGATACCTCAGTAATGCAGCTACAAGGGCGTGTTATTGAACATAACCTATTCCTCATTCTTGGACAGTGCTTGTTATATTATTCAAATGCAGCTAACACTGTTAGGCTTTGTGTGAGTACTTGTATTTCCTGATGAGTGAGAGTTTTTGTAGTAACAGCTGGCCTCTCTTGACAGAAAAGAGGGTTAACACCTTGTGAGATAGTAGGAAAGTTAGAACTTGTTTAGTGAGTTCACTTTAAAAGAAAGCATTCCTTCATTCACTCAACATTTTTTAAAAGCTTCAAGTCCTACTATACACCAGACAGTACTTTAGGGGTTTAAATGCACGAGTGGACGAAGTACATGAGAATCTCTGCCCCCAGAGAACTCATATTCTAGTCCAAGACACACCCATACATAATGTACCTAATCAGCAGGCACATTAGAGATGGTGTCAGACAGTGGTAAATGCTACAGCACAGGATGCTGTGGGTGAGAATCTGCATGAACAATGCACAGAGGACTGTAAAACAGGAGTAGCTTGTCACAGACAATCAAATGTTGCATACTTCAGGGTTTAAGTATCTTATACTTTACTTCCTTTCTGCTCATTAGTGTTAGTTATGTCCCAAGAGGAACTGAAATGGAATTTTATTTACATTCAAGCCAATCCTTAGGAAAAAACAGCAAAACCTTGGAGATTATGGTCAGATGCAAAATCGAAACAGCAAACCTCAAAGAGAGAAGTCAGGATGTTTCATCTGTCAACTCTTGGGACCCATGACATATTCTTTTCAGAATCCAAATTAGGATGTGGTTATGCTCTGTCTTAATGAGATAGGTTGTTCTAACCCTAAAAGTCTTAGTTTTGGGTTCCAAACTCTCTTCACCAGGAGACCATATTAAAACATCCTTCCCTGAGGACCTCACCTTCTCAAACCGCTCATCATGAAGAGTTAGTTGTTCATTTCTCCGCATGACTGAAGAAGTCATAGAATACTCTGTGAAGCGGCTTTTGGTTTCCTCTTCCCAAAACAAGTGCTTTCTGATGGCTTCATGAGGGGAACCAGGGACAGACATGTCACCTCCATCTGACAGTGGCCCTGCGGAACCACAGTCATTGCTGCTCCCACTCCATTCCTCATCGTTCACATCTTCCCACTCACTGTCTTCACGCTCAGATTTTCTAAAGCCAACAAGTCTTAAATTATCCATCAGAACAATAAAAGAGAACAAAGAAACTTTCTACACAACCGGAGACTATCTCAGGAAGGACTCCTGAGGAAGCAGGACTAGAGCTGCTGCCTGACCAATCTGGCACAGTAGAAGAACAGCCAAGTGGCAATCAGGATTCTTGGACTTTAGCCCCATCTACTGATAGCATGTCTCAGATTTACTTATTTTCTGCTTTAAAATACAGAAGTCTCAGAATAAATGTTCTCAAGATTGTCTTCCTATTACAATGGGGTTACCCCCCCCCCACTAAGGCAGCACCCTACATACGGTATGTCCATTCCCTCTTCCTCTCCTGTTGGCTTATTGGCTTGAAGAATAAAGTCATCTTCAAGGAGATTATCTGGATCATCAAAGTCAAAATCATCATCAAGAGCTGCAACAATGTCAGGATCAAAATCCAGTCGAGGCCCTAAAAGGAAAAGAAAAACTGAGCAAGGTACATTGCTTTAATCCCAGCACACAGGAGGCAGAGGCAGGAGGATCAGGATCGGGAGTCCAAGGTTGTCCTCAGCCAGCCTAAGCTAAATGAGATCCTGCCTCAAACTAAACAAAGCATCCCCCTCCTCCCAGAAAGAAAGCACAATACATTCACTTCATATATGATATGCTATATCTTATTTATGTACTGCAGAGAACAATCAGAAACTTTTAAGTACAGTTTAGGTAGATGGAGTGAAAATAAAATCCATTCTTCTTCAATATTCACTGCTAAAAACATTTCCACTATGAAACTATGCTATTAAAACCTGTTGCTTTAAGAAAACTCAAGTTTTTAACGGCAGGAAGAAACCAGGTCTTAAATTCATATGTTTAGAAATAACTCAAATATCTGGAGACCTTTACATTTTCAGAATTTTGCACTATGGAATTCTAAACAATCCCAATCGTTTTCAAACTTTTAATTTGACATGGCCTCCAATAGCGTCTGCTACATAACCCTGCCTTAACTCTTCAACTGCATTTTTTATTAATCCCTTCCCTTCCTTCTGGTATGGTAAAATGTATACAATGTCTGATATTTACATTCTCTTGGTTTTGAAAGTCGTCAGTCTTCCGTCTGGGATATCTTTTTCCACCCTCCATGCAGCCCTCCCTCTTCCACCTGCCTTTAACTTAAGAAGTTAAGTGGGGGATGGGATGTTGCTCAGCAGTAGAGTCCTTGCCCAAGATATGTGAAGCCCTTGGTTCCATCTTCTGAACTCAAGTCTGACATTCTCTTGAAAGCCCTGCCTACTTCCTGAGGCTGGTCTTGCACCCCTTGTATTTATTCTCCTGTTCCACAATTCTAATTTCCCATTTAGTATCTCTCCAACTCACAAAAAAAATGCTCAGAAAGCCACAACCGGCCCAAAATGCAGAGTAAGAGACTGTGAAGTGTGTGTCCCTGTATAGGACTCTTATATTAAACCTCACCCACTCAAGGCTCGGGGACCATTGCAGAAGATGGGGCAGAAAGATTCTAAGAGCCAGGGGTGGTACATGATTGAAAGGAAATGGTTTTCCAGGCTTCTGGGAACTTGCTTATATGAACTAACAGTAACAGCAATGGTGGCAGCTTGCACAAGACCCGCCCAAACTCAATCCAGACAAAAACCCAGCATAAAACTGGGGAAATGGTTAAGAAGCCCAACCCTTAGCTGAGGAACTATCAGCAGCTGATCACTGCTGGGTGAGGGTGAGTTGGTCTTTTTTAAGGGAGTGATGCTAGATAGGCTGACCAGGGTCCAGTGGATGAATGCACACCTAGGGACATCTGGGGACAAAATTTGACTTGACAGGCCTTAACATACACATGAAATCTTGAATTTGGGGGTGGTGGTTATAGAGGAAAGGGTCTAATATGATTAAGGTATATGAAATGTACAAAAATTCAATAAAAATATATATCGAAAAAAATGCTCTCAGGTTAAGGATTATGCTTTCTTCTGGTTTAACCAAAGACCCTACTCCACACTGGTCACTCTGTAGAATTCACTAATGAAGGAATGTTACAAGGCCAAAGTGCTGGTCAATAATTAGGAAAACTTAAGAAAAAATACCAAATACTGCTTCTGTGGACCTTTGTGCTTGTTTGAAACTACAATGGTGGTAATGCAAATTTTCTTTAAAAACAATCTTTTCAACTTACCTTGAGATTATAAAATAGATTTCTACAAAACACATACTCTTGGGAAAAATTTTGGAACATTATTGTTCAAGTAGAATGATGAACCTCACTGTTACCTTGGTTAAGAGGGTACACAAATGTTAAAATTCCCTTATATTTATTTATTCATATTATTTATTTATCTCCATAAATCATTTTCCCACATTCTTCTCCAAAATGAGATCTCTAAAGACCAAAGAATTTGATATATAATACAAAATGCTGTTGGCCACATACATTCCCTCCTGGTCCTCTTATTTAAATTCTAGACACAGATCAATTGCTTCAACTTTTTATTATGGATAGAAATTCTGTATCATGTTTCTTTTTGAAAACACAAATTTACCAGATATAAAGTTAAAGAAGCTAAATTCACCTGAAACTGGAGCTGCTTTATTTAACAATCCAACATCTTCCTCAAACTCTGATGCAAATACAGATGAAGGCAACTTAATTCCAGTGCTCTTGAAAAAGAAATTACACAACTGTTAGGTTTATTTAGAAAATACTTCTCAACTACTATACTGGGTGAAAAAGAGTCCTCTCAAAATTCATGGCCACGTAAGTCTCTCAGGATGTGACCATATCTAAAATGAGGTCTGTTATGGTTTATTTCCCATGAATCACTGAAATTTACTCTCCATTATGAAATATTAAGAGAAAGATGGACCTTAACAGGTGATTAGAGCTCTGCTCTCATGAATGATTAAATCATTCATGTGATCAATGAATTAATGGTTGAAGAGTGGTGTGCTAGAAGCCAGTTGGATGGGTGTTTCCCATGTTCTCTGGGACAACCTGTGCTATTCTAGGTCTTCTGCCAACAGGCCACCACCATGTAAATTCCCTTGATCTTGAACATACAGAAAGCCGACAAAACTGTGACACTGTCATTAATAACAGAAAATGCACTAAGTCTTTGTATCTAACTAGTTAAGATGAGTTCACTACCTGGCTTGCCCTCACATAAAGGTGAGAAGACACTTAAGAGAATGGGTTTGAAGATGGAGATAGAACTCTAAAGGGACCACGCCTTCTGTAACCTGGTTTCAGACTTCTGGCATCCAGACCTGTAGAATAACTGTCTGTTATAAATTATTATTCAGTTTGTGGTAATTTGTTACCACAGTGTTAGGAAACCGTTCTTACCTCATCCTGGGATCTCTCATCTGGATGCTAGTGTACATCCATTATCACCCAAAGAATGATCCTTTTATAATAATTCACAGCACTTTCTGTCAAACACTATTTCACATAACCCCTAAACCCTGTGAGGTGTTACTGTGACTGTTTCAGTGAAAGAACAGAAACTCAAGACATTTAAATTTAAATGCTATACACCTGAGACCAGTCATTAAGAGGTTGCAGGATTCAAACTCAGGTCTTCTAACTCCACTTGCCTGAAGTTGCAGATCAAATGGCTCTTTTCCTCTTACACTACAGATAATATTCCAATGTCCAGTAATGTCACAGCCTCTTTGGATCAGCTGCCTTAAATTCAATGGTGGCCACAAAGCATCTCTTGGTCCCTATATTCCTCTGAACTCTTGTGCACACCAAGATTTCACTGCCATACTTTGGGTAACATCCCATTTCTAGGTAACCAAGTCACAGATTACTGCAAAGCTGCTGGGTTAGTCAATTCTTAATTTAATCTTCATCTAGGCCAGATGTGGCTTTCCTGCAGTTTTAACAAGTCACACTTTGCTCCTCTTTGGAGTACCATACCTTGGTGGTCAGCCCAGTTCCTTTTCTCCTCTAAGAAGTCCTTTTTAGAACTTTCCTTTGTCTGAAGTACTAGCTTTTCATTCTTTACACCATCAACTGACTTAATACCTGCACTCTCTGACTGGTCCTTCATCTTTAATTTCTTGTCCTTGACCAGTTAGTATGTGAAGTGAGGGTAACCAACTTGTATTATGTCTCTGCACGCCTGACTGTTTCACCTATTCTGCCCTCAGTCCAGTAACAGGAACAAAATCAAGATAGATGTTCTCACTGGGCCACAGACATTGTACTGTGAACTACCCACAGTGGCACAGGCCTAGATTTCCAACACTTGGGAGGATGAAGTAGGAGGACCTAGAGTTCCAGGCCAGCCTGGGCTACACAAAAAGAATCTGAGGAAAAAGAAAACTCTGAATTAGAAGCCTCCTACTGAAGACACATGAGCAAAGGTTTGTAGCAGTAGTGCACACACACAAGCCACTACGGCTTTCCACATGAGACTCCCAGTGGCATAAACATTGGTCAACATGTTTTTTCCCACTCTATAGTCATGTTTTTAAAAAAGTGCCTTTACTGAGACAGAATTCACATATTATACAATTCACTCATTCAAATGTATAATCCAGTGGTCCTTTTGTCTATTACAGTAATTCTTGGTGGTGGTGGTGATAATGATGATGTGTGTCTGTCTGCGATGGGGGGTGGTGAGCCTGTGTATAGAGGTCAGAGGACAACTTTGTGGAGCTAGCTCTTTGCTTCCACCTTTACATGGGGTTCTGGGGAATGAACTTGGTTCCCAGACTTGTATATAAGTACCTTTACCCACTGAGCCATCTTGCTGGCCCTATAGTGATAATTTTTTAAAAACTGTGATAATCAAGGCCAATAGTGCATGCTTGTAATCCCAACACATGAGAGGAAGCAAGAAGGGCAGGAGCTCAAGGCCACGAGACCCTGTTTCAAAACACTCAAAAAAACCCCCAAAAAACCTTCTGATAAACACGTTATTTGTTTTATTAGAGATTATCTCACACAGAACTAGGAACTGCTTTACCTGAGGTTACCCAGACTCAAAAACAAGCCATGGGTGTTTGCTTTCACCTGTGAATCCCAGCTCCAAATTCTCAGGTGTTGAGTATGTATCCTAATATAATCATAGGAGCCAGAAAATGGAAAGGACTAATGGGGGAGAGGGGAAGGAGCTTGAGAGAGAGGCACAGCAGGACACAGGCTTGTCAAGGGGAAAGTAAATGGGGAGAATGGAGGGGTGTACTTTAACAGGGGAGGGAAGAGGGAGGGCTATACAGCAGAAGAGAGACAATAGATAGATAATGCTTAGATTATGTGGAAAGCTAAAGTAAAATGTAGTTGTGCTGGATGGCTTTCGTGTCAACTTGACACACCTGGGTTGAGGGACAGTCAGTTGGGGAATTGCCTCTATTGGACTGGCCTGTGGCCATGTCTGCGGGGCATCTTCTTGATGAGAGATGTGGGAGGGCCCAGCCCACTGTGGGTGGTGCCACCCCTGGGCAGGTGGGCCTGTGTTGCACAAGAAAGCAGGCTGAGCAGGGGCCAGGGGAGCAAGCCA